TATTCACTCTTGCTCTGGTCTTGTCTTTGCCTACCGCTGGGCTAGCACTTTGTTTGACTACCGTCAACCACCCCCTAAAGCGCGAGCAAACATTGTAGTGGAAAACTCAGATATCAAGGCGGACCTCCGCTTAACGTAAACTAATTATAACTTGTTTAACGGCTGCCAGATAGTAAAACAAAGCAAGATAGTGGTTAAATGCGCTTCGACTGCTCCAGAGTGCGTCACATTTTCGTTTTGCACATATTTTGCTGAAAATTTGAACTCTACGGTCAGCAATGGCAATAGCGCCTCAGCCCACCAACAATGGGCATGAATCGCACGTCCTTGTACCTGTGACTTCGTTTGACCGGTCGGGCTTGACTGCGCTACGCAGTCACGTCACGCACCCATAAAAACAGACAACAGCCTTACGGAAATGCTAAAAATAGCTATAACTCTGTTTCATAGGTGTCGACGCCCGGTCATTCCGCAATCACGAAACTGCTCAACCTCAAGCTAGTCTTATCCTGTTCCTGTTTGTTCAGCTTTAGCTGCTGATGCAACGACGCGTTGGGTTAGCGCGGATTAGCTCATCCAGATTGACATGCCGACGTCACCACGGGGTAGAGAATATGTGAAAATCGGCGGGCGCTAGCAAGCTCTCCAGAGCCAACAAAGACCTTACCCATAAGAGGAAGGCGAAGCGAAATTGCGCGTTTTAGCAGCAGCAGCAGTCGATGAAGGAGCGTCCGCCTGAAGGAGGGGATAGCAGAAGGGGAAGCTTGACTTCTTTAAAGCAACTTTGTCAGAGGAGTAGATTTAACTGAAATAAAAGGTGGTTATATTGCATGCTAGCAAAATTTTCTGCTACAGAAGATCTGCGCTCACAACAGATAGCTACAAAACTTTTATTGTAGTGGCGACGAATGTAGTTATAATAGAAATAAATCTTTTAAATCACAATAGGTTTTTTGTAATATTCTAGAGAAAGCTTGTTAGTCTACAGACTTTTCGTTGCTTTTGAATCTCTTTACATCCCTCAAAGTGATAGGGAGAATATTTGCCTTTACCTTTCGATGTTAGCAAATCCTCCAACAAGTCCAAAACATCTCCACTGCCCCTAAACAATTTTCTTGTAAGTAAGGAACTTTCAAACGCATGCAAAAAAAGGAAAACAAATGTCGACATGCATTTTGTCCTGCTTAAGATTCTTTTTTACTTCAAAGTAAACTGTTCGTCTGTATTTAACAACGCAGCAAACATGTGGCCCTGTTCTTCTCGGATGTCATGTTAGCTGTCGTTTGCGCAATCGTTACGGTACTCTTCAGCTCCATTACGCACTTCTAGTTGCCCGTTCGGAAATCAAAATCTGCGGTTAAAAGTTTGCATCATCTTAGGAGCTGGCTCAAAAATCGTTCGAAATTTGGTTACACATAGAAAGCTTTCAATTCAGTTGAAAAACTTGTGACTGTGCGCACTAATCGAGCTTAAATGATAACGTGAAGTTGGGAAAATTTCAGCACAGCTGCCGGAGAAGTGTTATAACCTGAGAACTGCATTATTAGCATACTTCATCGCAGAGGTTCAGACTCTGTAATACAAAGGAGGACTCCATTTTCCAGTTCTGGGTTTGCTATGCAGTTTTGCGTCGCTATACTCTCTATCAGTCCTTCAAAGGGTGCTCGTTTTCATTTCTGACGAGAAAAAACCGTTGTGCGTCACGCGCGTCGTCTTTCTGATAATCGAAATGCTGAGGCGAAATTTGGAGCCCGGCGACTACGTCACACACTCGCGTAGCTCTCGCTCGGATCGATCCTCGACCGGGTTGAGCTGACTTTTTGCGGAGCGCTAGAAATTGAGCTGCAATGCAAACCGCATCCAGACCGGGTTACGTAACGGCGGCATACGACACTCTGGGTGCTCATATGCGCGAGAGATACCTGCAAAAGTTTGCGCGACTGCTTAACTTAGAACTTTTGCCACAATGTTGTACGGTTGGCTGACGTAAAAGCTGCATCTTACTT